CAAAAAGTCCCATTTTGTAATACTACTCTGCTTTAGCTAACACTATCTTAAAAATCAGCATTTTTTTTCTTATAAGATTAGATATTTATAATGCTAGTACTTTATCACTCAAGTCACAGCTCCACTTCTAGCTTTTTTGCTGGTTAACTGATGATAAAAGTCTTATGGAATTTCTTGCCTGGGCTGGCTTAGAACCACCATCCTCAGGTCTGAGTAGCTAAGATTACAGGCATGAGCCACTAGCGCCTGGCTAATTTTGCAATTTCAGATCCTTGCAAAGTAGGGGGTAACAATGTTCGACAGGAAATGTACTCATTACCTTACTCATGTAACTGTAACCCCTCTGTACAGCATCTTTACAATAAAATTTAACGAAACAAAACAAAACAAAAAGAGATAGTTATGAACTTGAAGTTGTCCTGTATTTGAACCATCATATTTTCCCTTTGAAATCACAAACACTGCATCTCTACTTTTTACCTGAAAATTGGAGGAACAGCGGTTGAAAAGTGAGATAGTTGACTTATGTCATGGAAAATGACTAAATCTGTCTTTATTAATGTCAGTGTTAGAAATCACACACCAAGATGCAGTATTTTCAAAGTGTTTAGGATAGGATTCATATAGCTTTGTACTATGTAAGGAATGTGAAAGTCACTTGATGGTGGAATTACCAGACTTACTTCCTAATATATAATCTTCCAACATATATGGTTCCTATGATAAAACTGGATCCTAGTAAAGCTGTTCTACAATGGCAAAGTATCTTCAATAGGAAGGAAGGCCGTCCTTAGAGCAGATGGACAGTTAATGAATAAAAATTACCCCTAGGCTTTACTTAGTCTATTTGAAAGAACATTTATGAAGTTATTTTAGCCTGAAATATCTGCTATGTATTTTTGAGTCTCCTGCATGGATTCTTTTTTTTTGGTACCAGTCTTTGGGCTTGAACTCTGGTCATGGGTTCAATGCTAGTGCTTTATCACTGGAGCCACAGCTCCACAGCTCCACAGCTAGGTTTTATATTTTGTGGCCAATTGGAGATAAGAGTCTCATGGACTTTCTCGTCTGGGCTGGCTTTGAATATCGATTTTCAGATCTCAGTCTCCTGCACAGTGAGGATACAGATATGAGCCTTTTGCACTCAGCTCATGAATGGGTTTTACACTTTGAACTGAATTAGAACTAAGTTGAACTGTTGAGTCAAATACACTCCCAACACTGCTATCAACTCTTCAGATTTTCTTCAGAATCACTTGTTTGGAATCTACCTGTCAGAATATTCTCTTTGTTTGCAAGATACCTAATAATCTCATTTAAAATCATAGAGTTCCATGACACAGAAATAGCTGAAACAGTTTCTTCCTGCTCACTGTTGTGATTCTGCTTCTGAGCAAATGCTTATCTTTGGAAACTTCAGTTCTATAGTACTACATTTCTGAACACTTCAATATTTGGGGGTTGCTCTTTTGGCAGGCTGCTATTTACATATGCGTTATTTCTAGCAAGATCAACGTTGAAGAAAGAACAAGAAGGAGGAGAAGGCAGCAGAAGAGGAGAAACTAGAATGCCACCCTCCTCCTGACTCTCACAAAACCTACAACTCCCCACCTCTACCAACCTCCACCATCCAGCTTGTCCGAGGAAGTAGCCAGCAACTAAATGCATCTTAAAACACAGCAGAGCAGATTTCAAGGAAATTCCCACATAGTCTCATATTAGGTGGTAAAAGAGAATCAAATGTAATCAATACTCAGTGAAGCGATGGCAAAGGAACCACGGGCTCACACACTGCGTGAGAACCATCCAGAATGGCTTGTCAATGCGCCACAAGGGAGTACAAAACTCACATTAGCGACGTGTGCTATTATTATGGGCCAAAGGCAGAGAAAGCTTACTTTAGAGAAGTCTGCTACCATCGGTGGTCCAAGTCCTTGGAAGGGAGGAAGAAATTTTGAAACAAGAAGAGAGAGGGATGTAACCTGAGTAAATGTACATGTAATGTTATAATCCATTTTGTGTTGCTAGAATCCAATACTTGAAAACGAGTAATTGAATGAAGTACAGAGAGGGAGGAACTAATCCTGGGGTCTGGAGGCTGCTGGAGCAGAGGTCATGTTTAGCGAGGGCCTCTTGCTGCTCCACTCCATGGGAGAACGCAGCTAAGGCCGAGAGAACACATGAATTCACACATGTATTGAATTTGTCTGTTATCAGGGACCCACTCCTGCAATTAGCTTACTCCTGTGATAATGGTATTAATTAATTAATTTACTTTTTTTTTATTTTTTGGGCTTGAACTCTGGGCTTGGGCGCTGTCTCTGCACTCTTCAGCTCAAGAGGAGAGCTCTACTGCTTGAGCCACAGCGCCACTTCTGGTTTATTGGAGTTAAGAGTCTCATGGACTTTCTTGCTGGGTTGGGCAGGATCCTCAGATCTCAGCCTCTTGAGTAGCTAGGATTACAGGCGTGAGCCACCGGTGCCCGGCTAGATAATGGTATTGATTTATTCAGAGGGGTCTGCTCTCATGACCCAAAGCCCTTTTAAAAGTTCCAAAGGCATCACCTTCCAACATTGGTTGTATTGGGAATTAAGTTCTCAATACTAGTGGATTCCTAGTGAAGTAATATGTAAAGAGCTGGCGACTTGCTATTTCAGACAAGCCTTCCCAGGTGGCTCATTTTTGAGGGTAGGGTGAAGTGGAGGTGGTTAGAGTAATCTTCACTTAGTTTTGTGGTAGAAAATATGATTTCATCAATTTAGCCAGTGCCTAAATTGTATTTCCTAAACCATGATAAGATAGCCTTAATTTTATTCAATCTCCACAATCTATGTGTTCTTGCTCTCTCTTCCAGTAGGATGTTACAGATAGGACACTGATATGCAAAATAAAAGAATGTGCTTCTTACAAACCTGACTGATCCATTTAATGTGGCCATCTCAAGGAACACTTCTTGCAGTTTCTCTGCTTGAGGTCTGGCCTCCTCTAAGCCTGTGCTGGAATCTTACTTACCTATTTAACAGGAGTCTCTTTCTAGGTAAAGGTGGCTGGGGTCAAACAATCTCAGATATTCAAATTTCCAGAGAGTTCTCATAAATTGTTTCATTTGGATGAGACACCTGCTGTTCCACTTCATTGGAAATCACAACTTTTGCATTTCTCAGATTATGTAATAATGGCATTCTTTCATTTTTGGTAATACCAGAAATTGGACTGGTTGGCATCCCAGAAGAAATAACCTTGGTGTGGTGACTTTACCAGTGAGTTTTAATATGATGTGATTGTGAAAAGCCTAAAGCAAACTACTCCAATCCCCAAGAGTTTGGTTGATAAAAATGAATGCTGTATGTATGGATTTACATTAGAAACTTAATATCCAAGAGATCCTAAAACGATCATGTTCATTGTTTATAGTATTCTTTCCCTTGGGGCTGGGCTGGGAGTCGGAGGAGGATGACGAATACTTTATATTAAAAGACGTAATTGCCAAGGAAACCAAGATGAAAACTGTTGTGTCTAAGCATAGTAGTTTCAGTCTAGGGCAGAAGCTGTATCTAGCCTTTCTGTTGATCTTTTGATTGGATTCAAACACTTTAGTGAATCCCTCTTAATAAATGCTATTTTGCAAATCATTGTTATCTAATATGCTGAATCTGAGGTGTTCAGCTTTATTTGTAGCTAGTGATCTTTATAAAAATTCCTTCCTTGGGGGGATGAATATAATCAAAAGACATTATATACATGTATGAAAATGTCATTATGAAACCCATAATTTTATACAATTAAAAACAAACTCCTTTTTTTGTGAAGCATGGGCTAAAAGAGGTTTCAAATACCTCCATTCTTGTATCTAGGCAAAGATATAGGCAGAAAGTAAGACCCAAGTCAGCTAGAGAAAATAAGAAGTGTAACAAATCATATGTGAGTTCATGAGATAAAACACATTTGAAAATTAGTAAAAGAAAAAAAATGGAATGTGAAAAAGAGAGTAATAAAGACCTGTTTTAATTCTTCAATGTGGGTAGTAACACACAGGTCAAAAGATGGTAGGCTATGTTGGTTGATTGACTGAGAAGTGAGAGAAAATGGTATTAACTCTGCCCTTCATATACATCATTGAGTTAACTTCAGTCTAGTCCTGGAACTATGCTATACAAGTATAATTAATACCAATCTCACAGTGTCAATTGCAGGGAACTCCTTTAGCTTCTATTTCAATTCCTGGTTCTGATTTCAAAGTGTATACTTGGATTAATCTTAGAAAAGATCCCCATTGCCTCACCAAATTCCTAGAGTGCTAAAGTAGAGGAGTAAGAACTAGCAGGCTTCTGTATGCCGAGGGAGTTTGCCAAGGAAAGGAATTGAGTATGAAGAGCTGGATCTCAGAACAACAGCCACAACAAAAAGCTTTGCTTGTCACAGGTGAGAAGGAATTCAAGTGTACAATTGAGAATGCTGTGCAGCTCTTATAATTCTTCACTGTAAGTGTATGTTTTGAGGATGAGAATATTAGGAACTGCTTCACAAGGTTCTCATTCACACAGTGGCATCCAGGCACTCTGGGGCATCTCTAATAAACGTTGGTGCTACCTAACTGGTGCCATGTCTCTTATAAATGGGCTTCTGGGATCCCTTCCATGGGATAGGATTTCATATCCAGAGCTCAAGAATCACAGAATTGTGTCATTATAGTCTGGACTGGAAACATCCTCGAGAGCAAGAGGTCAAGTTCACTTCCAACATCTATGGAAGTTTTCCCATCATTGTTGGTGACCTCATGGCTGGAAAGTTTGAATTTTGCTAAGAGCTATGTACATGGAATAGCTTTAATTAAAGAAAAAGATACTCAATAATTGTTGCCTTGACATTTATAGGACAATAATTTGGGTAAAATAATATTCCATGAGAGAAATGGAGAGTTCCCTTATGCTATTACCAGAATCTGAGAATAAAATTAATTTAAGTTTAAATAAATCTTCACAAATTATAACAAACATACCGGGCAGCTTCTGAATATCTCTCCAGACATCTAAATACTGTTGCTTGACGAAGATGATTTCGGAAATAGGCTGGGTTTAAAACAATGCTCCTGTAAAAAGATAAAGAAATACAAACATTATTATGTTTTTAAAAGACACTTCCCAGAAGAGCACAGGAATGAAATCACATACATTTATCTTTACTCTCATGTTTTAAAAGATAGTAATAAATGAAGAAGCCTTTTCTTTCTGTAATTGTCAGTTAAGACAAATAAACAAGAATTATTGAAGTACAAATTAAGTTTGCATTATAAAAGCAACTTTATAGCGCTGAATATGTTTTATGGATCTGATAGTGACAAAGAATTTAAATCTAACTTATATTGTATATAAGACATGGGATGATCATAGGATATTTGTGGTATTTGTTCTTGTTTTGGAGAGGATGGATTTGAATTCAATGCCTCATACTTGCTGGTCCAGTGCTCTACCACTTGAGGTATGCCCCACTCCCGGTCCTGGTTTTTTCTATTTTAAGATTAAAGTCTTGGTTGTGTGTCTAGACCACTGTCTACCTATTGTAGGCTTTCTGTTGTTGCTGGGATGACAGGAAAACACTACCAAATTCAGCTTTGGTCTGTTGAAAGGGAATTTTGTGAACTTCTCTGCCCAGGCTGGCCTGCAACCACAATCCTCCTCCTCCTCTCAGCTCCCATGTAGTTTAGGATGCCAGATGTGGACCAAAGCATCTAGCAATGGGTTGAGAAAGGATCTCTTGAACTTGGTAGGGGCTGGCCTCTATATGTCAGCCTCTGATGTCACTTTTCCAAATAGCCAGGATTATAGGAATGAACCATTGATGCCTGGCTATGGAGTCTCTACTTTTAATAAAAGAAGAGAGTTGTTAACTACTAGAATCTAGTTAAAAGAAGTTGCAATTTAGGCAGCATGTTCATTTTGAGCTACATATTTAGACCCCGTGTTTTCTTGCAGCTGGATGATGTGGTGATATGGAAAGAACCCTAGACTTTAAGTTATCTCTGGGGATGAAGGCAGCTAAGGAATGATAATCTTCCTTTCTGGTTAAGGCCTTCCTCACATTGGGCCTCCTGTTTTTCTTGGTTGAATGTATGAGGCTTGACTTACTGATAGGATGATCTCTTACTTTGCCTTCTGACTCTTTCAATATTGCTTAGAGTTCTGGAATTTTAATCCAAACCCAGAAAGAAAGATGATCATTCCTCAGCTGCCTTCTTCCCCTAGAGATAAGCTAGTAGGCATTCTTCCATGCTTCCTTGAAAGCCATGATAGAGGGAAGTAGATTTGATCCACTCCATACCAGTCACCAAATGGGAATAGGGAGACAGCTATCAGTGAATATTTGAAATACAGCTTATATTACATGCATTGATATTGGATTCAAAATATCATAGAAACAACCAAATAACCTTTTGTAGCATGTTTTCACTAGCTGATAAGAATCTCTTGGCAATGATTTATTTATTTAATTCTATTAGAGCTGGTCCTAAGGCTTGAACTCAGGGCCTAGACATTGAGCTTTTGTGCTCAAGGTTGTTGCTATACCAAGCTTCCGAAGTATTGGTGGTTAATTAGAGATAAAAGTTAGTTAATTAGAGATAAAAGCTAGGCTTTCCTGCCAGCCTGGCTTTGAACTGGGATCCTCAGATCTTAGCCTCCGGAGTAGCTAGGATTACATGTGTAAGCCACTGATGCCTGGCTTGGTTTAATTTAGAAATAAGTGGTTCTCAACAATTTTGTGGAGAGATTTTACAGAGTTCTTTGAGAATCAAATGAAAGCTATGAACCTGCATCCAGAACCCTTGTTACCACATGCACACATAGAGAACTTGTGTGACATTTTAAGAGTTATTCATGAACTCCAGGCTGAAAAATACACAAACTAAAAGAATTCCTTTCTTGGAATTATTGCTAATGGAAAAGCAAAGGTGGGATCAAGCGATCTGTCTGGCCTGTGCAGAATTATAGAATTACATGATCATAAGGTGGATGGATGCATTTTACTTCCAATACAAACAGAAGTCAGAGAGGTTATAAGGAACTTTGTTTGTGCTTCCTATTTTTAGCCAGAGGAAAGATACAATGTTGTATCTTACCTCCTTTCCTATGAAGTTTCTGAGTTCAGAGGAATATGAGTTAATGAGATATTGCTAGAGTCTATGACTAATGATTTGTGCAAATGATACAGAATCCTTTTAGAATACACATCAATTTGCTTTGGTGAATTTTCACTAACATGTTAGAATTTTCAAGACAATCACATGTTCATTTGACATCAAGGTATCTAATACCCTCTACTCAAATATTTAATTCATTGAGAAAAAGCATATTTGAGAAGCATGTCTATTTACATTAACTTTATAAGAGCAATAAAAATAAAAGCAAGCCACAGGGGATAAGAATAGAGTTTCTTTTAAAACCTGGTTATTCTGACTTGGCCACAAATCATTTCTTTTATATCATAAAGAATTCCTTTTGCTTTATAGCCATTCATTCCTTATGTACATTTTGTAAACATCAATTAAGGTGTTGGGGAAAATCTCAGAGGACTGGATGTTTCTAGATTTTGTCATATCCTTGTTTACAATGGAGTTTTCTGGCTTTGCAAAACTATTTTTCAAGAATCTTAGCCTGTCAGTTCAGTTCATTTGACCAAAATGGATTAGACTGGAGAGAAAGATGAAGGATAAGACTAAGAGGACCAGGGAAGGATAAGTTTAACAAAAAGAGAGGAAGGATGGAGAGGAGGCATCAAAGTGGCTTTGTATGTAGTGCACATCTTTTTTTCCATGAGTAGTAACTTATGGAAGGCCTTGTAGGAACCATGTTCATGACTTTTTTTTTTTTTGTCCATCATGAGGCCTGAACTCTAGGCCTGGGCGCTGTCCCTCAGCTCTTCAGCTCAAGGCTAGTGCTCTACCACTTGAACCACAGTGTCACTTCTGGCTTCTTCTGCTTATGTGGTACTGAGGAATCGAACCCAGGGCCTCATGCATGCAAGGCAAGCACTCTGCCACTGAGCCACCTTCCCAGTCTCCATATGAGTTTTTAAAAAGATAGATTAAAAAATTAGGAATCCATGGAACATTCCTCAATACAATAAAGGCTGTATATGACAAACCTACAGCCAGCATTATACTCAATGGTGAAAAACTAAAGCCATTTCCTCTTAACTCAGGAACAAGACAAGGATGCCCACTCTCTCCACTTCTCTTCAATCTAGTATTAGAATGCCTAGCTACAGCAATAAGACAAGATGCAGACATAAAGGGGATCCAAATAGGGAAAGAAGAAATAAAACTCTCCCTCTTTGCAGATGACATGATCTTGTATTTAAAGAATCCCATAGACTCCACTCCCAAATTACTCAAGCTGATTCAAAACTTTGGCAAAGTAGCAGGTTATAAAATTAACCCCCAAAAATCAATGGCTTTTCTGTATGCCAACAATGAGAAAAATGTGGCTGGAATTAGGAAAGCAACTCCATTTGTAATAGCCCCACAAAAAATAAAATACCTAGGAATTAACTTAACTAAAGAAGTGAAGGACCTCTATGATGAAAACTTTAAAATCTTGAAAAAGGAAATCAACACAGAACTTAAAAAATGGCAAAACCTCCCATGCTCCTGGATTGGAAAGATTAACATCGTGAAAATGGCAATACTTCCCAAGGCTATCTACAAATTCAACGCAATACCTATCAAAATTCCACCCTCATTCTTCAAGGAAATAGAAGAGGCAATCCAAAAATTCATATGGAACAATAAAAGACCCCGAATAGCAAAAACGCTCCTCAACGGAAAGAACACTGCTGGAGGAATATCAATACCAAATTTCAAACTCTACTATAAAGCCATAGTAATCAAAACAGCTTGGTATTGGCATAAGAACAGACCTCAGGACCAATGGAATAGAATTGAAAACCCAGAAATGAACCTACAGACCTATAGCCATCTAATCTTCGATAAGGGAGCTAAAACAATACAATGGAAGAAAGACAGCCTCTTCAGTAAATGGTGCTGGCAAAATTGGTTAATCCCTTGTAGAAAACTAAAGCTAGATCCTTATATATCACCCTGCACCAGAATCAACTCCAAATGGATCAAAGACCTTGAACTCAAAGCAGACACTCTGAAAACATTACAGGATGGAATAGGAGAAACCCTAGGTCTCCTTGGCTCAGGCCGAAATTTTCTGAATAGAGACCCGGAAACACAACAAATCAAAGAAAGGTTGGACAAATGGGATTGCATAAGGTTGCAGAGCTTCTGCATGGCAAAGGACATAGCTAGCAAGATCAATAGAAAGCCCACGGATTGGGAGAAGATCTTTACTAGCCATACAACGGACAAGGGTCTCATATCTAAAATATACTTGGAACTCAAAAAATTAAACCCCCCAACAACAAATCCTCAAAGAAACAACTGCCCAATAAATAAGTGGGCGAAAGACTTAAAGAGAAACTTCTCTGAAGAAGAAAGAAGGATGGCCAATAGACACATGAAGAAATGTTCAACATCCCTAGCCATAAAAGAAATGCAAATCAAAACAACATTGAGATATCACCTCACTCCAGTTAGAACAGCAAAAATCAAGAACTCTAACAACAACAGATGCTGGAGGGGATGTGGACAGAAAGGAACCTTACTTCATTGTTGGTGGGAATGTAAACTTGTTCAACCACTTTGGAAAGCAGTATGGAGGTTCCTCAAAAGACTTCACATAGAACTCCCCTATGACCCAGCAATCCCACTTTTAGGCATTTACCCAAATGTTTACAAAAAAGACCACACTAAAGCTACCAGCACAACTATGTTTATTGCAGCATTATTTACCATAGCTAAGATATGAAACCAACCCAGATGCCCCTCAGTAGATGAATGGATCAAGAAAATGTGGTATATATACACAATGGAATTCTATGCCTCCATCAGAAAGAATGACATTTCCCCATTTGTTAGGAAATGGAAAGGCTTGGAAAAAATTATATTAAGTGAAGTAAGCCAGGCCCAAAGAAACATAGGTCCCATGGTTTCCCTTATTTGCAATATCTAGTATATGTATGAGTCAA